CAAAAGTCACAAAATAGGCAACGTAGGTGGTGCTAAGATGTGGAGATAAGGCCATATCCTGGACGATAAGTGAACTGTGAAAACCTTACACGTTCCTTGCCACGATGAACGTGATCGCAGAGCAGTGCGTTAGCTACAAAAGAAAGAATGGTGAAAAATGGAAACAATCTGACTTTTTCGGTGTGCGTGTGTGTGTGTTTGTGTGTGTGTAAGATGGCAAGAGTAGCACTGTCTGAATAATGTGAACCAATTAATGCACTGTGACCGACTACTGCTCGGTAATTCGGCGGTTAGTACGTCCAAGAAGAGAATTTAGCTTAGCGTCAAAAGTTCTCCTGAAACAACACATAAGATACACCTCTTTGAGGTCTCAGCATTTTATTCACGAACGATATCTTCCCTCCGTTGTGCAATAGATTGTATTAGCCTTAAACCGAGTACGACTTGTCATCCAAACTGCTCGTGCACGCGATAGCCAGTAAAAACAGGATTCGGTCTACTGAAAAACCGTTGAGAAGATCCACGGATGAGTCAGGACGATTGCACTGACTGTCGACATGACATCACTCCCTGGAACAGCGCGGTACAGTTTCCGGACATTGGTAGTCAATCGACCTTGAGCAATGACGCCAGTAGCACGTGCACAGTCTCCGGATACACGTCATTGGTGCACCGTTCCAGCCAATCAGATACAATGCAGAGAAGAGCAGTATGACGCAAGATGTGATGCAATATGATTGGTGGAAACTAAGGTAGCCAATGATCTTTTCTTGTGTACATATATATTCACTTTCATTTCCTTCAATAAACGACTTTGTGATTCGCCTGTCTTGTGACCTTTTTCCCCGCGTCTCGATCCTGTGGGTTATTGCGAATTCGAGCCATTGCGGTCCAGTGCCATCGGTTTTCTAATTCGTGTTCCGTGATTCCCATTGCGTAGTTCGTGTCCGGAATTCTGTGCGTAACTTCACTACTACTACGTCTATTATCATTGCATATCCTTTTCATGTGGATTTGACATCCGAGTAGAGATAACGATATACGAAGGCTCGGTGGGTTGTGTCAAACTTCCTCCTCCAAAAGTAATGCTGTTATGCCGACGGAAATTAATGAAATCGGTGCACTGGACCTCGGTTCACATCTACTGCTGTGATTTGAATCACTATCAGCGCTTGGTGAATAGCGTTCAATTGTATCACTCCAAGTAGCTTGGTAACTGGTTAGGCTGAATCAGAGTAACTGCGATTGCTATTCGTGTTACCGACTGTCAGCCATTCGACCAGTTTAGAAAACCCAGATAGGTTAGATGTCACACACTGTCGACCGTGTGGGCACCTATGGTCTGAGTGAACAACCGCCCTATGTGCTCAGGGTCATGAAACACTGCGTCCCCTTTAACCATCGTACTGAGACCAAAAGAAGATATATGTCACGAGATGTTAAAATTTCGTTTATTCTTCTCAATCGCTGACGTAAAACAAACGTGCACATTTATAGCACATTGGATTTGTAAATCCTAGTGAACGGACATGTACAGTTAGAGAGAGATTACTAGAATTAAAAAGCATGGGTGAACTCCACGGCAAGTGAATTGATTGAAACAAAACCTTTTTGGCGCATAGAACGAGATTATGAAGCCGATGGCGCAACCCACGACCAGTAAGCAGGCGATCATACCTAGCTCGGGGTCATTATTTGAAAAACACCTCATGATAACTGAATACAAATGAACCCGCTTCCTCTTTCAAACCGTTGTCACGTAACTGTGGTGCAAAACTCTTGGCAATAAGTGAGGCGTTGCTAATCGGAATACATCATCCCGTTCTGTGCGCCTATAAGTTGTTGATCCAATCAGTTCACTTGTCATGAAGTTCACCTGTGTTTCTCAATTCAAATAGCCTCTCTCTAACTGTACACGTCTTTTCACTAGGATTTACAAATCCAATGTGCTATAAATGTGCTCGTTTGATTTACGTCAGTGATTGAGAAGAATAAACGAAATGCTAATAGCTCGTGACAAATTTTCAGATTTAATTTACCCGTCATCAAATTTCTTCGATCATTCGACCAGAGTTTGATCATGCAACAAACAGTTCAGCACTAACAGAGAGCATAATATACTGTATGGTGTATATACGCAACGTATATACAGGTATTGACCAAACTCGTGCAACACCCATGACTTTCATCACATTTGTTCCTCGCAACGCTCAGGTTTTCCAGTCTTATTCTGGGGATTGAATATAATATTGCCCCACATCGGACGCAACATATTCAAAATGATATCCACCCATTGCCAAATAGGCGGGAGACGCGATTTGAATCTGTTGGTAAAATCAATAAGTGCGCTGCTTTGTTGGGAGTTCAATAACGGCTTCATGTCACCTGGCCTCAGTTGCATTGTAAACTGAGTCATAATTTTTCAAACGATAGCAGGAGGAAAACCTGGCTAATCTGCCTGGACTATTCTCCATATTGGTTGTGTGCAACTTCTCTCCACTGCGATCAAACTCGATTATCGCCTTGCTTTGACAGAACGGTTTTTCCCTCTTGTTTTATGTCTTGATGGACGAATTCAGTTGACTGTGCAACAAATTAGGCTCATGTTCACATGGAAGCAGTTTGCAGTAGTCAAGAACTGAGTTGTTGGATTTGTGTGTCTCTCGAGTAAGTTGCCTCTAGACTTCCATTATATGCCAAACTCTTCTGAATGTTTCATTCGGTTTGGACATGGTGACACTACAAGACGCTTACTCAATGAGCTACACACCTCAAGGTCAAATTTCGAAGGTCAACTTGTATGTTTCCTGGAATATGTTTTCAGTTGTTTCAGTATTAGGGACCATGCGGGAGTAGTTGGTGGCTAAATAATTTATCAATTTATTATATCTAGAATATTTTCATTACGTTTGTTCAGTTTAATCATCACTCTAATGAAACTGGAACCATTCGTTAGAAAGAATGAATTTCCTTGATGCTTTGCATGAAATATTTTTCAAATCTGATCTTTAACTTGCGAGACACACGGTCGTGCGAATTCAAACGGTGGTAGAACAAAACTGAGAATATAGATGTGAGAGATAAAGTCACAAATAAACACTTCTTCCATAGTCATCAATATACAAGCATAATATTGGAGACTGAAATGTATTTCCAAAATGGGAGTAATGTTGCATGAGTTTGGTCAACACATATATATATATATATTAAGTATATATATCAAATATATATAATGTCTTTGATTAAATAACTGTTATCTGGTTAATCTGAAATCACATTTTATTTCTCCCCGTATATCCCATACATTTTTCCATTCCCTAAAAACCATTCTTTCTCCGACCCACGGAATTGTCGTTCAAGTGAGTACTGAAAACGTTCATTCAAATATTGGTACAAATATGAATAGAAATCTGATTTCAGAAGTTCACAAGCATTGCACACAACTGATCTAGTCTTCTTGGTTCTCCTTGGCTCTGTGTGTGTAAATCCATCGACTTGACTGAGTATCGAACTTTGGAACCAATCAGGTAGAACTGAAGCTCATTACGTACGCACTGAACTACCGGGCAGTAGATTTAACCGTTTCAATCCTTAGAAATCTTCACAATGGTAAGTTCCAATAGGGTTGATTAGTGCATTAGGAGCACAATAAATTCGATCTCAGGTGTGTTTTTACACTAAACAAAAACCGGAAGGTGGAAACATCCCCCTCTCTCTAGAACACAAATGGTTCCTCGTACTGTTCTCGAGGTGACAAAACCCATTGATCGGATGAGCTGCGTTGACGAGAATTACGATCAGCCCATAAATTTAATATGATGTTTTAGAGTTCTGCTTAATTTTATCAGTATAATAAGATGGTATTGAAAATTGCAATTCATCCCATACTCTCCATTGTATTTGAAACACTGAGCCCCCTTTATGTGTCCCACCTATAGACAAAGAAGAAAAATGCCATCAGATGTTAACACTTCATTTAATCTCCTCACTCGCTGACGTAGAACAAACAGACATATATACAGCATATTGAATTTATCAAGTATGGTGTACGAACTTGTTCTTCAGATAAATTATAGCAATATTATTTCCTGTTGAGAATATTGCTAAATAATTGTTACCCAGAAAAGTTTATAGAAATTTATAGTAGACTCTTCCCGAAGAGTAACTCCATACTAAATGTTAGCAAAAAGGTCATAATGGAAGCTTTCAAAGGTGACCACGTTTAAAATGATGCGCTCCCTAAATTGAGGACATATCTGGCATGTACACTTCCTGCTGCTTAGCTCAGACTAGATGACGCAACTGATAACTGGTAGTCAGGCAAGCACAAGAAAACCCAAGATCACCTGTTGAAAAACAGCAAGACTCACAGCTGCACCTAAGTCGTACTTCAAACGACGATTAGAATAATCCCAATGCCAAACGTTTTTAAATCAGAGAACCGTCGCAAATTTGCTTACATCATTCAACTTTATGCGCATACACGTTTTTGGTACAATCAATTCATCTACTGCTATATTTGGTAATTTGCTTGTACGCGTCCGTTCATCATAATTGATTAATCCTATGCGCTGTATATATGCCTGTTTGTATTAAGTCGGTGATGTTAACAGATCACGACAACGGTCTTCTTTTGATATCCACTGTTGATACTCAGATTTGAATGTCATTGCTCCAAACTCCCTCGTGTAGCGTCCAGAATATGTGTGCAGGGAGTGCACTTTGCGGTCGGAAGGACGATTGTTCGAAGATGCAATAAGCATGATTTCATTTCGGAAACCTCAGTCAAGCCGATCGAAACAATGAGAAAGTAATGAAATGTTCTTGTTTGTTCATATAAATAGAAATTGTGGAGCAAAACGAAAACCAACTGCTCTAATGGAATCAGAGGTAAACCATTTGTTTTTGTCCTCATGGAAAAAGGGACGCGTTCCATTCCCACTCCCGTCCCACACGCGGTCTCTCCTGTTCAAACGAGTAATTTGTGAGATCGTTACCATTCAACCGCTGGTGAAGTGTCGTGAAGCTTGAACCGTTCGGTATTCCGGGAGAAATACACCAGAATTTGCGTACGACGGGATCAAACAATCTCGTGTCATACTTGTGGAGTGAGTATTTCCATGGGTGCTGGAGTGTTGACTCAATGCTTGGATGATTTGTCCCAAAAGAAGTGTAACGTCTTGACCACCGGGTGATTCGAGAACCAGCCGAGCTACCAGAGCCGCAATCACCGCGGCCACGCTAATTGTGGCCGACNGGCCCCGGTTCGGAAAGGTTGTTTTGTATGGAGTTGATAGAACGATGCACGCGTCCGTTTGAGGGAAGCGATCCGGCGGACTCATAGTACTGCCGACCGAACGGTTGTATTGGTGGTACTGGTGGTGGTAGATGGTTTGCCGAATATCTTGTTTGCAGGCGTTTTCTATGGCGAATCTCTAGCAACTGATACCGAATGTGTGCTGGTGCGTGAAAGAATCGACAGTATCCCGGACGTCGGTGACACATTCTCTTTATGGATTTGAGAGAGAAAAAACAATCATGATTGATTTGTGTGCCAAATATGGTAATTCTTACTTCCAGACCAGTAATCATGCAATCGGATGGGAGAAAATTCTTCCTATATGAGCAGTTGAGCCAATAATTTATAATGAAACCCTGGAGACAGATTATTCACAATGTGAGATTTTACATTTGGGACTAAATAGTCGATTGGGTTGTCATTGTGTCTTGGTCAAATTATCGGTACGATATTCCTAGCCTTTCACAGTTTCGCCATATACCTTTAAAAATACTGGTAGAATGCATACGTCAACTTGACATGAGATTCGGGTTTACTTTTTTTCCTCGTGTTATTCAATATATCAATCAAGAGTTTATCAGATCCCTCTGCATTGCGATCTGTTCCGAAGAGGTGCAATTGAAAGTGTACCCACAGGAAAAATTCAGCTTCGACAAACGTGAAACAAACCTGTTCAAGCAAAGCAAACCCATTTTCAAGTCTACGAATCAGTCCTTCGACTGTAATTCTTGATCGGTATAAGTGGCAGTGAATTGACGTCTGCAACTGTGTAAACAGCGTGAATGTTTCCCCCCACCCGTCTACCATAAATCTGTATTTTACCAGCCCACCTTTGTTTGTCAGAGGTCATATTCTTAAAAAATGAGTATATACTTTTATCTTCAAACGATAAAAAGGGAGTAAATAATTTATTGATCTTGATTTGAAATAACCATCATTCAAACTTCATTTTGACGCAGAATCCTCAGATAATCCAGTCAAGCATACACTCGCAAGCACTAGTCTGAAGTATTGCTCTTATTATAGCTTATCAACTGTGTATATCCACCGTTCCATCCGGGCTTTATTACTTCAGCTTAGGAGGTTTGCAGCCATCCAGGCCATAAACTGCATGGAAGACCTGATGTGGTGGGAGGCTTTTGATTGAAGTTAACAGGTAGTTAAATGTGTCTTCATTCGTTGCTATCGGGCCCAAATGAACTGAAGACGATACTTCAATGAATTGGAAATTAAGTTCATCCCTGGTCTGAGCTGAGTGGCGCAATGGTAACATACATGCCTTACATGCAATGGTTCCGGAATTCAAAGCTCCATAGGTGCGATGGATATGCATAAACGATGAGCTCCAATAGGAGCAAAACTACAGTCTAATGCTTCCGATTGTATTGATGACTGAGAGAACTGAGAATTATGATTGAAAATGATGTCTGAAGCATGTCCAATTCCAATTTACTTGAGCTATCTAACACCACCACTTACAATTAACTGTGAAATAAATGTGATCTATTTACTTAATACGTATTCAATTGGGGAACGAATCATCAGATACTGTTGTGCAAGCTTTACTGTTATGGTATTTAAATCAAAGCAAGTCAGTAAGTGCCTAAATGAGCTTGATGAGTGAATTATCCGCGTGATTCACGGATTACAGTTGGGCCATAGATCTTCAATATACAAAAAAGTAGATAAAAAACAAATGCTAAAGCTAACATGAAATGTTGGTGGATGGCTCGGCAGTAGTAAGGATGATCACTAAATAGGGAGTATGGTTGGTGTGATATGTTGGTGTCCCGGTGGGGAGAATTTCAAACTTTGAACGGGTACGGGAATGAAATGCAGTGCTATGAATCAACCAGAAGACATTTGGTAAACTGGTTAAATGTACCCTGATGAGCAAAGATAGAAGATGAGTTAAATCCCCTCTTCCGATGGTATAAGACACGTCTGTCCGGCGCCGAAGGCGTTTCAGACCAGGAGAGAAATACCGATAGACGCGGACGGAAACCGTTTCAACAAGACAGTAAAGTTGAGTTAATCCGAAACATACGGTACAAATAACTGTCAGAATGGGAAAAAAATCAAAAGATCGATGGAAGCAACCGTCTGGCAGAGTTCTAGTTTTGTTCACTGGTAACCCGAGATACGGGTTGAGTGTGCTTTAAGTATCTCAAGGATGACCGAATAGAAACTTTTTCTGAAGACGGATCATGTCTTGACTGCACATAACAAAGTTGTTTACGAGGCTCCATTGCTGTTCATCATTTTTTATCTATTAATAAATTACTGAATGTTCTGTAACAATGAAAAACATTGCTCACAAGCGATGTAGCAAGCTGAAATACAAAGAAAACCGGAGGACTTGCTGACCCTCCAGTTCCAGTTTCACTTTGAACAAACTCCGACAAAGCGCTTGGGGGCGCCGGTTTTGATTGCTGTCGTTTGACTGTCCATTGGGATGAGGGAGTCAAAGAAATATCAGAAAGTTGAAAGAAGAGTTGAAGAGAAAATGGAAAATTCCACCAGACTACGTTTGTAAAGATAATGAGTGTTGACGACCTATCCATATCACACTTCATGGAATGCTGAATACATTTAATTGCAACGGAAATTTTTGTGATAACCCAAAAAGAGCACTGAACAGCTGTTTCCTTCGGTTTTGGACTCTTCAGTAGTGTGTACCCCAAGGTTCGCGGTTCTAGTCCTGACAGGGATACGTGCTGCTGACGAGTCCCAAGAACAGGTCAAAACAGCTGTCCAGTGCTCTTTGTCGCTCATCATCGCATTTAGGTGTATTCAACTAGTGGGAAATTAATGATCTCCCACGGAGTGAGACCCATATCTAAGATCATCGGCAGTGCTTGGTGCCTGAGAAAAACCGAATAAGCTAATTCAAACATTCGCCATCTGAATAATGAATACAGTTCATCACAAGAGCTATATAAACTTCAAAGTTTAAACTTCCAGACACAGTCCTTTCATCACTCCACGAGTGTCGATTTCCACATTTACGCGGAAATGAACTGCAAGTGCAAGCCTCAAATGAAAAATATCTAAGTGAAATCGTTCATGAAACGAAGGTTGTTCCATTAAGTACATCGTGATATCATCCCCATCTCTTAAACATGTCGGCTTGATTAAGTGTCAGTGATCGGTTCAAGTTAGTATTGTTGCTTCCTCTATCATAAACGTAAATTAGATCGCACGATATTGTCAGCCATTCTGTTCTGGAATAAGTAAAGATAAAACAATCGTATGGTTTTTGAACCCTCAAAAGTAGTGAACACCAATTAGACGACAGCAAAGCTGATCGCTATTATTAAGATTGTACTCTTTTCACTATGACCGAATTAGAGAGGTTAAAGGATTTTTGGTGTATCATGTAATCCGGAATGGCGACCACTTATGCCGTTCGCTGCTATCACGGGCACTTGTGTAGATCGTGAGGCAAAATCAGCCAACCAAACGTATGAGAGGCACATTTTTGTTGCCACTTAACCACGGATTGCAAACGTGGATAGAGTGCTCGTTGTGTGGTTCAATGTGTGGTGATGGCAAACAGTGAAATGTGTCCATTTCAAAAGATTCAAAAATGTGTGTTAGTAATTCCACTTTGTTTAGAATGATTTGGGACTCTCTTAGGCAATATATGGAACCTTTTAAGTCCTCTCGAAGAATAGATTCCAAATCGATCCAACCTGTAGCTCATGCCACTATTTGGTTTCTCGTGATTCACTACACCAAGCCGAACGGTTGGGAAATCAAAACACAGGTATTAGGCGAATATATGTTTTCTGTGAGTTCTTTCTCAAGCCAGTACAATCACATTTATGTGAGAAGATAGCCCATGTTTACTAACTGAAGTTCACCTGTGGTTCCACGTATGTAGGTCACACGACAAGGCAGCTGTCTAACCGTATCGAAGAAAATCAACCCACTTGACTTTGACATGGAGGAATCGGAGTTATTTCCTGTTCGATTGTTACACACTTGGTTGAAAATGAACACAGGGTGGATGCTAATTCAGTTTTCACCGTCATTCATTGTCCCACTATACAAAGCCAGGGCTGGTTGATTTAAAATGCTAGCAACAGCTGAGGCAATTATCACCCGCTTGATGAATTTAGAATTGTGTGCTTAAAACCACTTAAACTTCTCTGGCTCTAAGAGGACAACATGCATGAGCGTTGTGAAGACCCAAATCAATTATCAATGCTTACATAACCCGTTCTTATCTGAAAAGGAGAACAGAGATACAAATCAGTTCCAACTCCATCCCGTTGCTATAATTATTTGACCTCGACTGTCTGACTTCAACATAACATCTTCCCCTTATTTTCTTACATAAAGATGATTGCACTGGCTTGAGAAGGAACTCACCGAAACATGTTTGACTACGACCTGTGTTGATGACCATGGGCTTATTTCGTGATGGGGGAACCGATTGGCCATACTAGTCAGTAATCTGGAAAATAGGTCTCAGTATACAGACTTGGTCAATCAAGAGAGGTTAATTTGAAAATAACCTTTAACTGTGTGCATAACCTATGCGCGATTAAATTGGACATCGTCTGCTCAATATTCATGATACTAATGAAATAATGCCATCCGATTAATTACCACTAACTTAAAAAACGAGAGGTAATATTTTCTTCACATGCCTCATCTCAAACATCTAAACAGATAGCACGATCAATAGAATAGTGAGTGCATCACCACCTTTCCCTCAAGTATGACGAGCGTGTTCACGAGTTTCCAACTGACGGGGTGACGGAATGTGTGTGTGTGTGTGTGTGTGTGTGTGTGTAATCAAACAGTTCCGTACAGAGCAAAAAAGGCAGTCATTCCGGATAAGCAAAATGAAGTATGAAGTTGGGCAGAAGGTCACTGTGCAGATGGTTCGGCCCTTGATGGCTATGTGGACACTAGCGATTGCAGGGGACTATGTTATTTGCACAGTTCACGCCTTTGAATCCTGATCGCAATGGCTTCAGCAGTAATAAAAATCTCCTAATTATTCGTTTGACGTGAATCCCAGTGGTGGTC